GGAACGAAAAGCAAAAAAAGAGGGTAACTCAAGCTGTGGCTGTGCAGGCATTTCTCCCCATCGTGATTGGAAGGTGGGTTTTTTTTCCCTCTTTTGTGCCATTTTCTCTCCACTGGCCAGTTCGTTAGTTGGCTGATGGGATATCATGAAGAAGTGCGGTGTGCTCCTTTGGGAAAAAGGGGGAAGGATGGTCGCTTGAGCGTCCGTCTTGGTTGTCCGTAGGGCTGTAGGTACCCGCCTTTGCGCATGGGTAGCTTGTACTTTTGCTCCTCGGAACTCCCAACAGCTGCCACGAGTTTCTGCCATCCCCGCTAGGTTATCAAACAGCCCAGCAGATGCTCCGTTCGATTAGTAAATGGAATATAGGCAGGATAGCAGCGAGTTGCTCCGTCGGAACATCCGATTGCTCATGCTTCTCCTCGTCGTCGCCGTCGTCGGCGTCGGATGTCGGGCCCGTAGACTCGCCGTCGGCCGTCTCTCTCCCCTGCTGCCAACTCCGAGGTGAGGTGAAATAACCGTCCTGCAGGCTGGGCTGCTACTGGATCTTGGTATCGTGAGGTTATCCGCGAATTCTCGTGCATGTACCAGCTACCTCGTCCCTCGCCAATAGTACACTGGCGCTTAACCCTTCCCGTTCCTCTGCCTTTTCTTGCCTTTTGGCTCTCTTTTCAATCCATCAATCATTGTTCTCGTTTCCACTTCTGGGAAGCTTCTTGCTTTTTCTTCTTTTTCCTTGTTTGCTTTTTGGCTGCAAGCCCTGTCGAGTTGTGAAGAACGATGCTGTCTTTTTTCACTCGCTGCACCGCCACATGACGAGATCTGATGTCGTTGATGATGGAATCATCGATCTCGAACGGGCAGATATCGTAGTACTAACACCGCTTGGTACGGGGGTTATGTGTATTGATATCATAACAATTAATAATGGCTGACTATAGGCGTCACCATGAACATCAACCACCAACACGAGCGTTACACTGCTCACACGGTTCATGCCCAGTTCATGTCCACTCCTGCCTGACTCCCAGCTCGGGACCAAGATTTGTTTCGCATCAGAACCACGACCAAAACCAAGAACAAGGGGGAAGAAGCACCAACTAGGTTATCGTTCAAATCCCTAAGGCCGACTTTTTGCGTCTCGCTTCAGACCCCTAAATTAAAATAAATGCCATCGTCGTGCGAAACAATGGGCGGACGAATGATCGCTCGCATCTGGGCCGTACAAGAGGGTTGATGGTGCAATATGGATCTACAGCCGACAACAAGACAGACCATTTACCATCGCACCACCACTAAAAACCACATGTTTCTCCTCCTTTCTCCCTGGCTAAACTTCAGAACTGGAGATTGAGATCTGAGATTGACTTCTGTGATCTATCGAATTACGGATCTTGGATTTCTCATTGCTTTTTTTGGTTTTGCTTTGCTCTTTCAATCCAGTGGATTGGCTGTTTCCCTTGCTCTGCTTTCTCGAGATTCCCGGTGGAAAAGGCCGAGAAAAGAGACGCGATACCCAGTAGTAACTAAAAAAGTGGTGACCAGGAATTGACGAGCTCGTGAACCCAGTCAACGGAGCAACCTGGGTATCGGATTCTGCCCGTGTCGTAAAGTCAGTAAATCAGCAGCAACAAAGACAAGACTAAGAAGGGGGAGAAAAAAAAAGAAAAAGAGATAGTTAACTAAGAGAGAGCCCAGGATTTCGGAAACTATCCTATTCCTTACCCAGACAAACCCTTTCCCGAGCCTACCGTCCCTTGCTAGGCCCTACGTACCACTACGACGGGACACGAAGTAGTTGCCGTGCCCTTTACTGACTAG